AAAAGATACTACTGATTGGCCAGGTTGTGTTTGCCCCCCTTGTGCAGAGCTTGGCCTTGATCCTGGTGGAGACTTTTAAGACAAAAACAATCCAAATCCCAAGGTTAGCACTTTAAGGGGCTACATGTATGTCATGCTAGTTGGTAATCTTTTTTTAAAAAGGGCTTTAAAATACTTAAATCCTCGCATCTATTGAATTGCAAAAATAATGGTCTAGTTGTGTTAGATAAGACCATACTTAGGGACTGAAACTGTTTTCTGTTGTCTGTCACTACGGTTGGGATGGATGGATGGACATGGATTGAACAACTTTTACAAGTTTTAATTCTATGCCTGTACTTTAGTCTAATAAGAAACTGATAGTTCTATACCACTTTTAAGGCATTTTCTGTTTGATTTAAAGTTTTTTGTGTGTTGATCAGGAACTTACAGTTGCATCAGCTATGGCTTGGGCTTCTAAGGGTTTCTGCAGCTGATCGGTGTTAACTGAGTCCTCCAGATGAGCTTCCTGCAAATCAGTCATAAAAAAATATTGTATGAACAAATGAAAAATATACGTAATATCAGTTTGGCATTCTAACTATGGTAATATTTAAAGTAGCACTTCCTCAGGTCCTTTACTCTGCTTCTATCAAAAGATAAAGAAATCTATCATGATAAAATCAATAACTCAATTTCACTCACTAGAGCTGCAGATTCCATTGTTGGTTTCCTGGAAGAAGAAAAGGATGTTAAGGCTGCTTCCATTTCTTTAATCCAGGTATCTTTAGGAACTTTGTATATTTCCAACCAACTTTCTTTTAAGGGGACTGCGAAAAAAATGAGTGAGATCTTAGTATGAATTTACTGGCACATACGCCAAGATTTCCAATAAAGGCACAGTTACCAAAGGTTACCATGTCTGACTGAGGATCTGTGGGTACGGGCTCAAGCCTTCCAATCGCATTGTCTCTTTAGACAACAATCGGCGACAAAATTGTTGAGACATTGTACTCAAATAGGGTAACTTCAGGGAAACAAAAGAGTCCACACCCCTCCCCCTCCCCTCCATTCAAGGTTGGGGTTTTTGTTGTTTTCTATGGAGGGGATGGGGGAGGGACAGCTTTATTTTCCCCTTTTGAAGTCAGTAGAACATCAAACAAGTCCTTAAAGGCAACATGTGTCAACTAATTTTCTTCACTATGTCTCTCTTCACCCAGGTGCATAAATGAAATAGCAGCAACAAACTGCTGAGGGGTACCCTGCAGGGTTCTGGTATCCCATCCAGTGGGCAGTAGTAATACCCCTTGGTACTTTATACTACAGAAACCAGGATACAGCTGGATAAGGTCCAGCAATGTGGGCCATAAGGCTCATAGTGAACCTTTACCTTTAACGCTTCAACTTACAGAGCAAAGAGAGTAGCAATACCTTCCCATCCAACCCCAATATATCCACCATCTTCACTTATTTGGACAAAAGTTGCTTGAGACTGTTTGCTTGAACCCTCCTACAGTTGAAGATAGCTGTTAATGACTTAATTTATGTGGAAATTTACTTATAAGCTACTGCTAATGCCTCAAAATAATCAACTGAAGAATAATCAGCATAAAAGGCAATTCAGGGTAAGTAACCAGACAGCATATATATTTTTATGACCTACATAAATATTTACCTATGAATAGAGCTAAATGTAACTAGAATTCAGCCCTAGAATTATACTTATTTAACACTAGCCAAATTTAATATAATCTGAGTGGCCCAATTATGAATGAATGAATGAAGGCTTATATATGACGGCTTAATTAAAAAAAAAAGTATGGGTAGAAATATGTCTACATCAACACAGTATAATCTATTGGGAACTATATTTTGAAGTGATGGTGGAGAACAAAGTTGGGCATTTAACAGTCAAAATGAAAATGTGCTTTTAATTCATCACTTTTTACTACCACAAAACTTTTAGCACACAGGATAAGACACCCCTAAAAGGGTGCAAAGAAAGTCAGTTTTACAGCCTGCCATTTGGGTAAGCTGTAGCTAGAATGTACATATACTAGCCCACAAGTCATTTCAACTAGCCCCAAAACCCTTTTGGGTGAGCAGCATTGATTACAATCATTCTGTAATCTGCATTTCCGCATAAAACAGCACTTGCCTGTTGGGCAAAATCCACTACCCCCAGGCTATCAGACACAACTTTCTTTGCACGCTGCCTAAACTGTTGTTCTGAGTGTTTGAGTAAAGCCATTTTACTAAAGATGAACGCTTCCCCTTTGAGGGTTTTAACCCTTTAGAGTGTTAAGTGTCCTAAGAGTGACCGACATCAATTTTCCCCTAACAACATCAGCAGATCATCAGGAGTAAAGATTATGAGAATTACTAAATTGATTACCAAAGAGAGAATACTTTGATCTTAAACCAAATTCTCTCAACTGTTCTTGAAATACAGTATGTACGAAGATCAGTCTGGAGAATTTGTATGTGGATCTTGAGGCTTAAAGGGTTAATGGCTTGCAAATAAAATTAACAAAAGCCGAAAGTGTAATCAAAACTTTTAAAGATAACATTGCCTTCATACCACATGCTTTGTTTTTGCCTGTAATTTTTAGAAGACTTAAGCATTATAAAATATGTATGCACAAATCTCACCTGTTCATTGAAGACCCTTACAAGCACAACTTTATCACCAGAAAAGCAAAATAACTTAGCACATCCTAAATGTACGAAAAAAAATATGCAAACAGTAGGATTGTGCATTTTAAACTTGGTTTAAATTATTTTATTTTTCTTTGTTTTGGGCTTATTAAACAGTAATATAATTATATGCCGTCATACCCGAAAGCAAAGGAAACAAAAATTAGTTTTAACCATGAAGGAGAAAATCAAACCACAGCATACACAACAAATACATGTATATTGGTGCAAATATAACTATTATTGTGGTCAACTGTACCTACAAATGTAGCCCATGCCAGCCTCTCAAATAGTGCGGACATCGCAAAAACAAGGTCAACAGAAAATAGAATGCACGTGTAAAAGGGGGCAGTGGTAGGCATCAGTGATCTCTGCACATTACTATCTTGAAGCCTGAGACAGGCTAGTTAGTACAAAAAAATGATGCCAGAAAGCAAGACTGTGCTGTTAGTTTCTCAGACTTTTTAGGAGGTAGGGGTCCCATTGTACTCTTATTTATCTATTATATTGAGACATAAGAACTCTGACCAAGAGCAGCATTCAAAACTTCAGATATTGGGACCCTTTCATACTTTTTCTTATTCTGAAGGAAACAAAAGGTGAGCGGTCAATCTTCTAGTTGACAAAACCTGGACTGGATGGGGACTAGTCCAGCACCTTCATTCTTCTTTGTACAAATACTGTTTGATTTGTGTCACACTTACAGATGAAATCAAGTGGTCTGAGTGTTTGGAAGTCCTGTATATTATGAATAATTATACTAGATCTGGTCCCATCCAGATTTTTTTGACCCCTTATCCCCTTCTAGAAAGATTATTGAAAATCCAACGTCTATCTGGGAAAACAGCCAACATTTTGAGATGTCACCTCTGGTTTCCCTGCAAAATGACATCTTCTGATTGAGTGCAGAAATTTTATACTGATGATATCTCACTACCCAGATCTGGGTAGTGCTTCTGACTGGATGTACCGCAAGGGAAATTTACAACCAGAAGCACTATCCAAATCTAGGTAATGACACATCATCAGTGAGGAATTTTTGTATTTGTTCCTCAGATCGATGTCATTTTGCGGGGAAACCAGAGGTGGCACTGCAAAATGTCAGTTGTTTTCTTAGGCTATCCCAAGTCAGGCAGCATGAAGTTTGTACTGAAGATGTTCCGTAAAAAAAATAATACATGATACCTATAGGGCTGTACTCTAGCAAAGCCTGGTGGCCCCTGGCACCTAACTTTTGCTCATGGGCGACTAGAAAATCTTATTATCATTTGATGCAAATTTTTCTTCCTTTTCATTGGCCGAGAGCCCACCACGTGACCTGCAAATACCTGCCTACAAATAATGGTCTGTTCATGGGCAATGTCGTCCAATTGTGTTTGGTTGCAAATAATATTCTGCTGAAACCACGCTTTTCTCCTTCTTGTGATCACTCTTGCGTGAAAATGGCAGCTTTCCGAAAATATTTATCAGAAAACAAACTTGGTGACTGAATGATAAACAACTATTATTGAACTCTTTATAGCAAAATTATATCGTGATTTGTCAGTGTCTCACAGATCAATTGCTTGCCGAAGCCGAATAATTGATCTGCTCACCACTGACAAAACACAATATTTTGCTCAACCTCATCCAATAGCTGTTAACTATTTTCATACAAATCATCTACTGAGCACCCTAGATTTTACAAGTTCACAGCATTGCATGGGCTCCCTTTAATCTCCCTTAGAGCACAGCCTTGTGATACATACCAACGCTGTCCAGAGTAGAAATGAGATAATATCCTTCCTGAAGACAACAAGCTGATATCTGTGAGATATCACTTCCTGGCTCTTCAAGACAAGCTACAGTCGTTCCTAACAAGCCGTCCACAACTGTAAGTCCATTACCACAGCTTAAGAACAAATAACTCCTATCTGCTACAGTGCAAATACATGAGGTCCTGCTGAAGTCTGACAACTGTTTTGCAAGGTCAAACAACGGTAAAACAGCTTTGGAGCGTCTTAAAGCCTTCCGGTCTTCGATACTCTCAATAATTTCCCAGGCATGGTCAAAAATCTTCCTTACAGTCTTGTCAACAAGTCGAAAAGGCTGAGGTAGATCGTCGAAAATTTGGTCTGGGTCTGCCACAAAATTGCCATCTCCTTCATCATCTGACGGAGGAGTTGTTGGTCTTTTGGTTTTTTTAAGACGCATTTTTCAAATATTCAAAGCCAGCGAGTAGTTTAGCGAGAAATGCGAGATCTTCCAAGCTGTTGTTTTGCCGCCATTTTGGTTTTCCTTGACAACTGAGCACTTGGACCCAGTTTCTCGCGGATTAATTTGTCCTGGGTCCAGTCCTACAGTAAGGGTCAAAGTTTGTCCACGCGAAAAGCGAGTTACCATTTCTACGAATTTCCTTTGGTTGCTTCTGTTGGAATCTTTTTAGTTACACAGTGTAATAAACTGTATAGAATTTTCCGATCTAAAAATGGACGTAGTCGCAGCAGTCGTAAAGTACAATCAGCAGACTTTAGGAAGAGATAAACTTTGCAGGTAAGGGTCGAGTTATTTGACGATTGTCCTCTTTTTTAAAAACATTGTTTACGTAGCTTCAATCTTGTCGCATGTGCGTACATGCTTTAAAACTTACACACATCATTTTAACAATTTTCCCTCTTTAAAAATATCTGCTCTGAATTTCAGTGTCAGGTTGATTTCAAGTTAAGATTTTGTTCCTAGAAATTCACAACACAATCGTGGTCGAAAACCCTTTCCATATATTTTTTGGTTCAATTTTGATCTACCAAACAACTAAACAATTTAAGCTAAATACGTTAAGTCTTACTGTTTACATCACTGTTTTCAATTGTTGTTACATGGTGTATAAATCTCTGATCAGGTATTTTCTTCACTCGTTACCAAGAAAGTTTAATTTTGTTACATTTCTCAATCGATCATATAAGGTTACAGGGACAGCATTTTAAAACATTCGTAACGATGTGGTGAAATTAGCCATTGCTCTCTGGTGTTTGCCATTTCATTTCGTTAACTTGTAGCATACGCAAAAGCAGATACTTGCTATGTTTACTTTCGGGACATCTCCGTATCAGACCGTCTTTTCACGGGCTGGAGCGTGTTCATTTACGTCGTCGCAACTTCCTAGGGGGCGTGTGATTTGTCATGCAATCCAAGACTTACGTCACACGAATTATATGCCTCAAAGTTAATCAGCAAAATGTATGCAAATTATTTAAAAGAGTTGTTTATTTATAATGTGCCAATATTTTTAATACAAAAGTTTGGCTGTAAATCATACATTAAAATGGTATGACTTCACTGACACCAATATCATAAACTCTTCTACCCCCCAGATGGTAGAGGAGAGAATTGTGAGGTAAATGTAAATACAATGCAAGAGGGGGATGAATTTTCAGAGGGGTGGGGAGGGTAATGAAGCCAAAAATACCTTACTGGGGGAGTATGGATATTTCAAGAACAACTCATAAAATGAGGAAAGGGATTTTGTTTATAGAGTGGATGACATAAAGTTTAAAATTTAACATACTTTATGGCCAAAGCATTATATTGATGACACAGTTTACTGTTTTACCAGGATCATCCAGTATTCTTCCAGATTATCCAGTTATCTACTAGCCCAGGCTGGTGCAGGTACAGATCTTGTAAACAAAGCTAAGACTCTTGATAAACATGCCAGCACCTCAAGAAAACGTAAGTAAAATTTACCTGTGGTATTCAATTACTGTATTCATACTCCAAGCCACATTTGCCCACAAGAATCTTCTATATGAAGGAGATGGCCTCTTTAGGAAGAAAAAGATGAGGAGTCAGCAAATAAATGGAATTGTTTACTTCAGAATCCATAAATAAATGTAACCAGGGTTATCAATCACCTTTAAATCAAGTCCAGTTTTGCTCTTGCAACATCAAATCTGCTCAGCCTGTGACTGTCTCCAGTCATGTAAACTTTAGTATTAGTTAGTGGTAGGGCATCTGACCTAGTTACCAAAAGGTGAAAGGTTTGACTCCTCTTGGGAGTTTTTATACACAGATATTTTCTTCAGTATCACCTGTGTCACTAACTGATTAATTTCTCGAGTATTTACCAGGCTTGGATTATACTCACCATCACATTTCTATCACATTAAATTTTTAATTGAAAGTAACTAGCATTGGGGAGTCAGACTGATTTGCTGGCCATTTAAACATCTGACACTTTTTTCAGATTTACAAATTTTTAAACAAGACAGAAGACGAGGTTGAAATAGGATTATTAGAAAAGGGGTGTACCGGGTATCTTTCTTTTTCTGATCTGTACAGTGCACTGATTTTGTACATGTATTTATGATGTTAATTGAGTAATATCTATTCAAATGAGTCATACTCTAGACTACTTAATAATTATAGCTGATTCAATGAAGGTAAATTGCTTTGGGCATTGGGAATTGCCCACTGACTGGAAGCTATTGTTTGGTGGTCACTCAAGCAAATCATTGCAATGATTAAAAAGTTCTGTATGCCCCTGCACTCCCAATCCTCGATTTCCAATGATCATGCAATTGCCAATTACTTAGCAACCTTTATTGAAATATATGTGTGATATTCTGTTCAGTATAAGGGGTTTTTTATGTTCCTTTTTTCACCTCTGATATGTACTTACAAATTTAGTTTTTAGGTTGGGAAAGAGCTTGGACATGATAATGGGAGCTATGAGAGCGAGAGACATCCATCACGACACCATCCTGAAAGTGCTCATCATATGCCGCCGCATCACATACACTGTCTATTATATCATTGATCACGTGACTTGGGCGGCAAGATTAGGACTTTACAAGTCTAATCCTAAGGAATGGTCCAAGTTTCAGGCCAAATTCTGGGCATTAGCTCTTGCCTTTGGTCTTCTGCGAAACCTTTATGACATCCTGAACCTAGTCTTTGTTCCAGTAAAGAAGCATGATGGCGAGGAAAGCTATAGTCAAGGAAGTTCTGTCACTGCACGGCTTATGTCACGCCCACAAGTGTTGCTAGATACAGTGAAGAATCTTGCTGATTGCCTGTTGCCGTACAATGTTATGGGGGTGATTGAGCTGAATGTTGGCCTGGCTGGTTTGCTTGGATTGACCTCCTCAATAGCAGGAGCAATTCCAGTCTGGAGTCCAAACATGAAATTGAAACCTTCCTAGATACAAATTTTTGAAAGAACTCGTTAGGACAGTATAATATGCTAAGCGCATATATTTTGCAGCTTGGACAATCTTGCATGTATGGTGTAACCTTCAATTCCCCTGGCTTTTTTTAAAAACTACTTTTAGAAATTTGTTATTAATATAATTTAATTTATTGGTCAGCATCAGGCATTTGTTCATCTGACAGCTAAATGTTAATTTAACCTCCAAATATTATAAATTATCTCTTTTATAGAAATGGTTAGAAATAATATTTAGTGGTAATGTTTAGAGTAATCATAACTTAGGATTTCTTATTGCTAATCAGAATGATTCGATGAAACTTGGAGAAGGTTATTTTGTGCATGTGCCAGTTTTAATCTGTTACAGTCCTGTCTTGAATTTTTTTGGCAAGAAAGTACTAGCCTGCATTGCAGACATAAATATTTAACCTTGATTTGTAATGTCTGCGAAGCTGCACCAATATCCTTTTTCTGGGCTTTCAAGGGACTCAAAGATTTACCGGAAGAACGTTTCGAAATTCCTTTCATCTTGATTGGCAAATCAACAATGGCATTTTAAAGAGGCCAATCATGGCCAGTACTCAATCTGGGTATGCTGCTGGGGGCCCAGAGCAAGGATTTTGGCTCTGTTTGTGCAGACAGACTTAACCAGGGTTTAGTTTCATCTGTGGTGCAGGCTAGAAAGTACAGGCCCTAACCTGAAAGCAGTGGCAATGGGAATGCATACTATACACAACATTTTGTGCCGTGCTCAATTTGTATGTGCTTACATTTCTCACTTTCAAGTCCATGGACTACCAGAACAACAATCAGTTCATTAAGAGAAGTTAAGAAGCGTTTATGGTTGCCATGCAGTGTTAGCTATTTTTTTGAGATTTTTTTATTTTCTGGAATTTTTTTGCATGGTAAATTCAGTTTTCAGTTTTTATTTTAAAAAAGAGGTGATTATTTATTACTGTGTTTTTGGTTTTAATGAGATGGACCTTTGCAGTAAGGTAAAATTTCTGCAAAGTTTAAATCATTGACATCCCTCATTGGCACTTCCAAACCCCTGGGGAGGGGGTACCTAACAAAGTGTTATTTGGGGGAGGGGAGGGAAAGGCAGTTCTGCCTCGCGATAACCCTTTCATTAAAAAAAGAACCCCTTTCACATACCTGTACTTAAGAAGAATGAATTGTTAAGCAAGTCTTCTTATCAGTGTTATGTAGCGTTTGATCATGAAATTAAAATAGTACAGCCATATAAAGGTGCATCTGTTTGAAATATTTCAATAGGCCACTTCGAGTTCCAAAAACCCTCACGTTCAAAATGAGACCAAGTGCACGACCTTTCTGTGAAAATGAGATTTATTTGCATGAGAAGTAATACACATTTCCATACCAAAGGCTGAGTGCTTAACCTCGTTTTGATACAGAGACTGTCCTTTCATTTAAAAATACCTTGATGAAAGATTTCCCTACCCTGTTATATACTTCAACTCTTGGGATCCCACCCTTCTTTAACCTTCCTAAAAAGGCACCCTTTTCGGCAGAACCTCCCCGTACAGGTCATTATAAGGAGCACCACACGGGTAGCCTGCGTTGGAGGCGTTAGAAAGAGAAGGGAAGGGGGAAGTTCCGGGGTGAAAGAAGGAGAGGAACCCTTTCCCTTCCCTTCTTCCTCACAAGGCCATTGCGCATCTAGCGCTCACGAAATCCCCTCTTTCCTAGCCTGCAGACCCTTGGAAGAAATGGGTGCAAGGAAGAACGGGTTGCGCGAGGGAGACATGCGTGTCTCCCTCGCGCGCCCCGTTCTTTCTTGCGCCCGTTACTTCCAAGCGCCGACTTCGCAGGCTACCTCTTCCCTTATCCCACTAACTCCTGCCACGTAGGCGAACTCAGAGGTTCCGAACCAACCGTAAGTTACGTTCACTTTGTAGCAGTACGGCTGATATAAAAAGTGGTTAAATGATGCAGCACAAACAAAATATTTTTCTTGATTTTATCAATAAAGAAACCCAAACCTAAATCAAGCTAAACTTGAGTGATTGTTTGTACTATTAAATTTTTACTCAGAGGGTAGCTGTTGAAGTCAAATTCTATATGTAGGCACGACCAAGTGTGTAGCATATTTTTTTCATTCCTGGAATCTGCTTTTAAACAGCATGGCGGCATGATTTTCTGTCCCCAAGACGGGCAGTAATGGGCTGTAGCAATACTAATAAGCAAAAGACGAGATTAGGGAAAACTTGGTCACGTGGTACAAACTGGCTCTTGCGTTTGCCGTAAACGGGATTCTAAATCCAGTCAGGATTGATAGGATCTTGTTACCTTGCTGCATCCTGCTTCCCTGAAAAAGACGAAAAATGATTCACGGTGTGCGTCCCGAAGGACGCAAAGATCGGTTGATCGATCTGAAGATGCGTTTTTGTGGAATATCCTGTTCGTGTGATTTCTGTGGCAGTTATTATGACTGTTGTTTAACGATGCGTATTTCTTTTAAGCCTTTGTTGTGCTTTAAAATGGGGCGTCCAATAGTGGATGGTCCGTTAAAATTCAGTTACTTTGTCGGTAGGCGGTTAAAATTTTAATAGCCTGCGTAGCAGGCGCTTGGAAGTAGTGGGCGCTCACTACTTCCAAGCGCCTGCCACGCAGGCTATTGAAATTTTCAATCTTTGTCGGTTGTCGGTAAATCTCAGATAATAAGTAAAAATGCATGTTAATTATTAATATTTGTTATGTATTTCACTCAAGACTATAAAACGTGTAAAACTGATGCTTTATTTGATTGATCGTCTATTTCACCTTTGTTTTCCAATATAGTACCGATATAAAATCACCAAAGCTTTTATTGCAAATGCGAACTTGACTTGATTTCCCTGTTGATTATAGTGCACTATAAAAAGAATTGAAGGGAGGTTAATTGGACACGGAGGAAAACGCCTAATCTAGCCTTTTGGATACGTAAATTATTTTTGGTGAAAAACTGCAGGGGGCTGCAGGCTGCAAATCTATACCGGTGTGAAACCGTGTGTTGATCTTAGATATTTTGGCTCTAACAAGCATGTCCTTTGCCATGATTTTCCTTTCCTGTAGGAAATAATGGGTGGTTCTTTAAAAATTTGGCAAAGAAGTGGTTGGTTTTTTGTGAGATTCCACTTTTCCATTAAAGCTTCTTTAAATTTTATAGGAGACACTGAGGGTTGGTGTTGAGTCACGACAGGAAACATTTCTTTTTCTTCCTTGCTGTTTAATTTGTTTCAGGAGGGCGAACTTCCAGCTTCTGTGAGTTTTATTTATTTCTGATAGCAATTTTTCTTTCAAATTGTGTTGGTAGCCTTTGTCCGTCAGGCGTTTTTTGGAAATTTGAAATACTTTCCTCAAACGTTGCTAAGGCTAAAGGCTTCTCCTTTGACAGATCCGGCAGTGGGTGACAAGGGGCAAAATGTGTGTGCTGGAAGGTTTCTGTTTGTAGTTAAAATGTGTCTTTACATCAAGGATAGCTTTTTCGTTGAATCTATATTCCCGTTTGGTGCCCCTGATTTGTTTTCTCGGGCTCCCATAAGAAATTTTGTTTGGTGTTATTACAGTAACTATAATTACATCTATAACCCTAAAAAAATGTGAAAAAGAATGCAATATTCTTAAAATTATTTTGGTACAAAGGTTTTGTCCAATGAAAGTTAAAATAACTCAATTTCCTGATGGATTCCTTCTCAGAACATGTACAAGTGTCCCGCTGCTTCCGTTGGCTTTGCAGTTTAAAAACTGCATGAGTTTCCTTAATTAAGGTTTGGCTGGAATTAAAGCCCCTTCCTCGATGATAATTTCTTTGAATCAAAATTGTCGCGACGATGCTATTCATTGAAGGAGTTTCAGTTCGTTTAAATCTCAGCGTTGAAAAATCAGTTTGGCCTTTTAATAGTTTGGTTTTCGAAACTGCTTTGTAGGTGACACCACCAAGCAAATGGACTGTGCATCGGAGGGGTTAAATCTTTCATTATGTAGAAAACTAACATTCGGCCTATTCAATCATCAAGCCTGTTCAATCAACAATAATGGATTTTAGCTTCAAATAAAAAAAATTAAAAAAAAAAAACAAGCAATTGCCCAACACTTGGTGCTGACTGGATTAAAGTCGTTACAGGACTCTGTTTCTTCACATATTATTGAAGATAGCTGACTGTTTGCAGTAAACTTTGCAATGACGAATGTATCAGCTAGCACCTCTTCTTCTTCATTTTCATCAAGGGCGAAAATCTTTCCGAATCTCGATGCACAAATCATCGCTTGGAGTTTTGCTTTTTCAGCGCAAGCTGTTGCTGTCGTCATGGGGAATATGCTCGCAATTGCACTCTTTTCATTTAACAAGAAGCTTCGAAAAAAGAAAAGTTTATACCTTGCTATGAATATGGCGTTTGCTGATCTGATGTTGGGAGTTATCTATCTCCCTTCTTTTATTTTTTCCCTGGTGAATCCCGAAAACCAGTAATCATATGAAAGATCTTTTTTCCGCAAAATCATCCTCGCGTTTTTCTCACTGGCCTCGTCTATTACCGCTGCTTTGATATCTGCTGAGAGATTTTATGCCATTTATTGGCCATTAAAGCACCGAACACTTTCTACGCGAGCATACAGGCTTGTTATTTTGCTTGCGTGGACGATGGCTATCCTATTTTCCACGGTTTATGTCCTACTTTTCTGGAGCCCAATGGCGTTATATAGTTTCCTGTGTTTATACGTCTTATTTCTAGCCCTGACTATCTGCGTCCTCAACATCGGTACTTGGAGAAAGTTCAAGCGAAAAACTCCTTCTCATCAACAAAACAGAGCCTTTCAACAGCAGCGCTTAACAAAAGCATTGTTATATGTGTCTGTTTTTACTTTGATTTCGTGGATCCCAATATCTATTTACAATTTAATAATAGGCTCCTTTGCATACAAAATACATGTCCACATTTTGCTGCTAACTTTGTTTATGTATCTTTCCAGCTCGTTTATCAATCCAGTGGTGTACGCAATAAGAATTCCTGAGTTTAGACAAGCTTTGCCTAATGTATGCTGTTTTAGAGGACGGGCATTGATGGACAGCGAAGGAAATATGAAAAGATTTAATATGGCCGCAGCCGACCACAGTCATGCCCAACTCACTTTCGAACAGAAAATTGTACATGGAGGTCAGGACACCAAATTGTGACCAACAGTGGAAGTTTTACCCTGAGAAACTGCTTCCTCTATGAGCTTAGTGACCGTTTCAAACCACTTGCGATTTCGGTTGAAGCACAGGCACCAAAAGCAGGGGCACCCAACGACAATTTTCGGAAAATATCTGTTCGGAAGACGATTTGAGATCTAGAATTTTCGGAACATTTGTTGTAATATTTCTTGCTTGCCTGCCTCTCCTAGGATTTTCGAACATCTAAAAAATGGTATAACTGCTTATTTTTAACGGATTTTTACCCTAAAAAGGTCACCTAGAATTTTCGGGAGCCTATTTTCTGGCTGGAATTTTCGAAAAGGTAAGTTTTGATCCCTACAATTTTCGGATCATTAGACTTTCAGCTAGGAAATCCGAACAGATGAAAAATTTTTAGGGGATAAAAATATGCCTATATCTACCGTTTAAATACTAAAATACATTTAACAATGCTATGTTTAAGTGGTTTTGACCTATATTCTCGTTGGGTGCCCCTGCAAAAGCTCTGTGCAAGAGTCACGTACACGTTGTATTTTATAAACTAGTATCAACACAGCTGCAAATGTTAGTTTTTGTGTCGAAATCCCGAGAACAGATTCAAGACTCAGATAATAGAATGATAAGCAGGGGCTACCAATAAAGAAAAGCAGCGCACTAACACCTTTAGTTATCTTAACTTCTTTTAGATAATTTTTAAAGCAAAATGAAGTGTGTCTCCCCAATTTCGCCACGCGCAAATTAAGGCTCTAACTGCTGCCCGAAAAATAAAAAAATTAAATCAAGTCAGTCGTGTGAAAATGAGGTAGGGTTGATTTGAAAACCAACTAAACGTACCCCTGGAAAGTGCTGGCACTTTCAATTCTAAGCAGTTAAAGTTACTGGCAATATCCTGCCCGTAGACATACTGGGTTTGAAAGCCTGTTTGGAGAAAGGAAACAAAACAAAGATGGGCAAATTAGTTTTAGTACAACTTATTTGAACGTTCGTACTGGTGTCCGTCAAATACTTGAAATCAGTTTAAGCAATAAAGAGTGTAAACAATCAAGATAAGCTTACTTGGCAAGAAAATTCAATAA